TTGCAGTTTACCAACAGAGTCTTCATCATGTCTGCAATGAAAACAACTGGTAAAAGCTTGTCTGCTTCCTGGTTAACAGTGTAGCTCACTTCGTTGAAACTCTCGGAAATCGTGTCAGTAGTAGCGTTATATTGTGTCGTTTTCTTACGTTTGGCTGGACGCCTAGAAGCAGAGGTCTTCATTTTCTTTTGTGACATGATAAGAAAGTGACGTATGACAGATGGATTGAACAAAATGTTGGGAATGGAAATGGGTGAAAAATCAATTCCGAGGGCTCAAGTTAGTCTAGAAATCAAAACCCATGTTTTAACCAAGAGTGAATGTATCGTGAGGATTAGTGAAGGTATAAAAAACAAGAGATGAGAATGGTTTGAAGATAGTAGTGGGGATGTAGTATGTATGTCAGTATCTGTGTGGAAGCAAAATAGAACATGACTTCAATTCACTCATGTCTGTAGGGCAGAACATTTTGTTTAATTACGGCTCCTTATGGTTTAGTGGGGTGTCACGAACTTATGGGATTGATGCTAATTTATCATGCAAAATGCCTCAATAAATCGTGTTTAGAACGTTGAATTGATTTGACTTAATACCCAGTAATCCTATTACAAGCAAACTAGACAATTCCCTAAAATATGAAACCTACTCAAGACCCTATAAAATCTAAAAAACTAATCTATAAATAAAGAGGCTCCAATGGCTCCGAAAAAAGGGAGAAAGCCAACTGTGTATCACAATACTGTTTTTAGCACTATGTTTCATAACTACACATAATCCCATACTCTCAGCTCTTTTCTGAATCATCTCCGTTTGTCAGCTGTTTATTCACTCATACATTGCTCACACTTGTCTTCTTTAACCTATTAGAATGCTCTTGCTTTGTAAATACTCTAATAAAATAAAATTAGACTGAGTAGCCATACCTTAAATTTTTTGCATGAACATTGGCTGCTCTGCCTCTCGCTCTTTCTTTTACTAGTTCACTTTTTCAGCCCCTTTGAGATATGGAACGGGTGACTTCATCTTGCACCATCCTCAAAGCCTCAGCTATTCCAAAGCGATATAAGGTTGCAATTTCTAGAAGCTCCCAGCTTCAATGGATCTATTCTTGGCCATCAGTTGCACGTCGCAACGTCACTTTCATGAAGCGCACCAACTGTTTTACTGACTACAGCCATTTACACTTCGTATCTTATAAATTATCAACCCTGATGAGTAATTTACTACAGTGGATATGTAGAATTCTGGTCTACTATGATATTAGTACTGCTTTAATAATAGACCTAATCCTAAAATTGTGGATTTGTCATGATATAACTGCCTAATCTATTAGATCTTGCATGGAAGTCACATCATTGTCTACACCAACTCGTTGCATCGTAACAATCACCAATGCATGATGTAGAACAAGGTTAGGCTAGAGAAGGAACAATATATTTAATATGAATAAAAGATATAAGGTAACATTCAGAGGGGCCACGCCTGCATGGCCGAACCATGCCATCCGATCAACTCGAATCAATTCGATTTATTGTTCCCGCCTTCCTAATCGTTGTGTTTTTCTGTGTTAAACGTTGAATATCTATTTTCCGTGTAGCCACGTGTTCAGCTTTGAGGACTGTGTGGTCAGAGCTCAATGCCAAGGCATATATACATATTCGCTCATAAAAAAATCAGTCAGGGTTGATAAACAATTAATTAACAGGGTCAGAACGTGACTATAGAGGAATGAATTGGCCTGTACAGAAGCTAGAATAAGATATATGTGCTTAACATGGCGGCCGACACTACAAACTCTTATTGGGTTATAGTCACTGAACCTCTCGTAGTTCATTCTAATGTTATTCTAGACGCACATAATTCGTCTGTGTTCCAGACCTTTGTTTTGTGCCGTTGATAGATCATAGGAACTTTATACTCAATAAGCAACAGAGTTCACCCATTCATGAGCCTCATTATACTCTTTATATGAGAAGAGTCAACAGGCGGTTAATAACCAACAATACTACCCATCATGAGCCTATGTTTTCCGTAATATAGCTCGTCTTGATCTTCGCAACTACGGCATTTATCATAGATTCTTTGCTACAATACAGTCCATCATATCCTTACTTTGTCCTCATGATTGTCATGTTGGTTGACAACTAGCCTGTAATTCCCGTAACACTTAGTCGATCAACTGAACTAGAATCAATCAAATAGCAGTCTGAGTAATTATTCATTTATGCACCTGTCACCCTATCTTGAATGTATACTGTGAACTCAAACCAAGACCTGGTTTCTTTAGTTCGGACTTACTTAACAAGTAAAAAACAAGACTGGCACCTGTGATTTGACACTTAGCATCCAGGTCATAATATTCTCCTGCCCGATGAAGTTTATTGGTGGCCTTGATGATGGACGGAATAATAACACATTTCAGCAGTTCTAAAATATCCGAAAACCTTGATTTAGTACCTTCATCGGCGAGACTCTAATTAAGGGACGAGCCAATCAGAAGCGTTTGAGCAATTTCAATTATTAACCAATCAGAAGACAGTTAGTATAAGGTAAAAATATATTACAAGAAAGTAATGAATTACAGTGGATATTCTTCTTTTACATGATTTAAAAACTTGTTAAGGTTTGATGAAGGTTCAGAGGCTCTGAATTCATAATGCATACGGTATAAAAACTCGTCCATATGGTTAGGCATTAGGGTTGTAGCCTCTCAATAAACACCTCTGCTCTAAAATCCGCCGTAAACCAATCGAATATTAGCATCACGTCTTGAACTTGGCTCCATGATCTTGAGATTGCTCAGACGCTTCTTTTGGGCTCGTCCCTAAATTGGAATCCCGCCACCCCAAACCTAAACCCTAACCCTATGGACGAGTTTCTATACCGTATGCATTGTGAATTCAGAACCTCTGAACCTTTATCAAACCTTAACAAGTTTTTAAATCATGTAAAAGAAGAATATCCACTGTAATTCATTACTTTCTTATAATATATTTTCACTTTATACTGTCTTCTGATTGACTAACAATTGTCAAGGTCATTCAAGATTCGTTCAAAGGTCGTCCCTAAATTAGAGTCTCGCCCCTTCATCATCCGTAGTCTCACTTAGCTTTATCCGTTCTCTTAGGTGTTTAGGTGACTCTTTGACTACGACTTGTAAGACAGACACTGAAGTCGTTCATTACCATGCATTCAACGACGTTGGGATACTCACTCATACAAGCAAACTGTTTGGAAACACACTGATGCCCTCTAAGTCACTTTCAGCATGTCGACTATAGCTTTTACACCCTAAAATGATCTACGAACCACTATTGAACACCTATCAAACCTTTACTTGATCATATCTTATGTTTTTGCATAACCACAGTTTCGAATGACGATCTACTCCATTCCAATTGGTTTCAAGTAGCCTTTCAACGCGTCTGTAGAGATGAGTGAAATTTTTATTATAATCATCTGTTTGTAATACTAAGTGAACCTTTGTGATGGAGCAATTATGCTAGTCCAGTATGATGGTTCAGATGTCACTAGGGCATGATGATTTTGAGGAGTCAAAGGATCAGAGAAATTACACGTAGCTGTAGCCAAACCTTGCATGAAGCCAAAGGAATACATGTATCCCTTAGAGATCACCATATTTTGGCTGATGACCAACCATAAGGATTAAGGGTCAATTTCTGAAGCGACTCATTAGTTTTTAAAATATGAAATTAATTGGATCTGGCATCTCAAATAGACCAATTCTGACGAAGTTTTGTGTGTTGTTTGGGACTACTAGAGAAGCGTGATGAGAAAGATAAATCTGATAGTACTATTCAACGATAATCCGGGCCAAATCTTCAAAGTGATGTAGAATGGCTTAAAATGATGTTGAAACACCACTATAACCTACAATCACCATAAATTAAAAGAACGGATGATGGAGGTAGCGTTTATTTGAACAGCAGCAGTAGCGTGTGTACATATAAATAATTATGTCTGTTTTTTGGATGGATACAAGGAAACAATATATATTGGATAAAAATTTGGTTACATATAAAGTGTCACAGATAAAGAAAAAAAAGGTCACTATTTTCTCATTATGAAACCCATTCAATAAACATGTCAGTTAAGATGTGGATTGAATGCTTACTTTACCGTGCACATATTGACAGCTTGACATATAACTTCGTGCAAATAAAATCTGTAAGAGATACCAAAACAGAGTTTGGACTCAGTTCCTTTGGACGAAAGTGTGTTGTTCTAATCACAGGCAGTTGTCTCTAGCTTTTTAAATATATTTTCAACTAGCATTTCTCTTGGCGACAGATAAAGCTTGTCTAGATAGCGTGATTTGTAGGCTTCCTTTATATGAATTGTGCCGACCTCATGGTACAAGCTTATGCACCTATAACATGGTTTATCAGTGTAAAACATCATTTGACATAAAGATATCGCAAGTATACGGAGTTTGACAACACCTTAAACAGTTACACATTTATAATAGAAGTATACCAACTAAGTAAAATCAGTAGCCAGAAGCGAAGAGGTTCTAAGATATATTTGGGAGGCTATTGATATGTCGAAGGAACGCTTGATGTAAGCTGACGGATAGCTGAAATGGCTGAGTAGCATGGTATACCCACTTGTGATCTGGTACGGATGAGTGACCAGGCGCATTCAACTAGGCGAGTCCACCAAAACTTATGCCGTCAGCATCAAATGTCGACGATTTACAGTGACATTTATTTTGGGCGTTTGTTTACCACTACAGACAAACTAAAATACAGGTGCTCACTTCTTGATTGAAAGTAGTGATTACGAACACCCAGTCATAAATTTTGCTCATTAAAGTCAGAAGGCTGACTACCAGTGTAGTTGTTGGACCCTGAAAGAACTCTAAAATTTAGTTTGTTCACATATTAATTGGCATGTTGCCTTTCTTATGTGTTTATGTAGTCACTTTTTTCCCGTAAAACACTGAACAGTGTTTGTTTTACCAATTAAATAAGCTCTCAGTCCGAGTTTGTGCGAGAAATGAACTACTACTCTTAGGATGCGGTGAGGATGTAAGTCATCGTGTTGTGCACAGATTTCACATTGAATAATAGTCTTCAGTGTTTAGTTAAGTCTGTAACGTCTGACGTCACTTTTTTTTACACGGAAAGACTATGAGACTGTTCATTTTCAAGCCCCATTTTGAGTTTACTTTCAGTTTTGAGATTATCATATCAAAATGACTTGCAGCAATATTTCAAAACATTTAGCTAATACCCTGAATTTAACAGAAAGCTACACAAGTTTAGTCTTTGCTGGGGTGTCATGATTTTTACTCAGTCATGAGTTATATAGTTTATAAAAACTGGATTACTTTTCAGACTAACTTACGACCAATTTTTTAAAGCTTTAATTCAAATATATATGCTAAAAATCTGACTTTTGGGTTCTCCAGTTTAGTAGGCATCCTACGCTCGTTTATGTGCGGTCACCGTGATTGTGTTTCTGTTGATGTTACGGCTTATAATCGCTCTTAAGACTGTGTCACTCTTATATTTCACGGAAGTTAGATTAGTTGTTAGTAGGGAAGGTGATGCGTTGAAGCACTATATTTTTTTCACGAGTGGTATTTTTCGGGATTCCGTTCCTTATGTATTTTTTTAAGCCTGTGTTCTAGTCTATGAGTCCGATTTCTTGTGTACATGCACCAACAATTTATGACTTAACTCCTAGTTAGAGTCAAAATCAGTGTCGATCTTAAGTTGTGGGTGATCTTAGTCAAGACAGAGAGTCGGATTTTGCCACATTTTAATTCTGGGTATTCGGTAACTTATTTCACGAGCTGGAATTTATCCTCCACTGGTATTAGCCGCTTTGTTGAGAAAACAGTTAGATAACCCAGTGATGAGCTGTAGCTCCTAACTAAGGCGGTTACTCTGTTTATTTTGTAAATTACATGCGTAAACCGAACGATCTTTTAATTGATTTCAACTGCTGCTTGCTTAATACGTTCAAATTCATCTGTTAACTGGACACGATATACATTTTATTGTTATTTTTGATATCAGTTTAACCAGTGGTTTGTGAATAAATTATCCTTCGTCTACAGTTAACATAACTATTTCATTCCCTTGTTATAATTAGCAATTAGCAGTTATTCCAGAGCCATAGCAAACCATATGTACTATTAGCAATATCATTATCAAGTTACAAGATGCTTATTATAATAAATAGGCTTCAAAATTTAGATTCGGAATCAAGCATGATCCATAAACGTACGTGTGTTTACTGACTATTCTATTTTGTTTTTCGTGTGGATTTAACTCAGAGCTCTATAACTTCTGGCCCGATAATTTCATCTCTGTGCTTATAAGGTATGAGGACTTGAACCAATGTACGTTGTGGTGTGCTACTTATGTTGACATAAGTAGTATATGATGTTGATGTTAGTCGTGAACAGAAGGTCTGGCAGCAGGGAGTCAAGAGGATCGAACAGTAAATAATGAAAGCAAAATGCAATTTGTATGAAAATGCAAGAGCAATGAAGTCTGAACCATTTTGAGACAATCGACGGACATTTTGCAAATTAAGCATTTACTCTATGATTGTTAGATTTTATTAACAAGTCCCGTAATTTTGTTTTAAATACATTCAATTGTCCCCACTGGTGTTCTTGTTCACTACACGTAAGTACAGTGTTCTACGTTATGACTAATGGTAACATGCGTTATTTGTTTTAGGTTAATTGATCTTAATTTTAACAGTTTAATTTTTTCACGTGTAGGTACCCAGTGTATTTTTGTGAAGTATTTTTTCAATCTAGTCAAAAGCAAGGTAGTTTAACGCTTGTGTTGAATAGTTAGGTTTAAAAAGCTAAATACCACCAAAACTTCAGGGATTTAGGTTAAGGTCAACTAACATTCCCTGATTAACGTAGACATTTCATCGAAATCATAACCCCACACACGGAAATGAAACCTAGGACCTTCGTTCTCGAGTGAGAACATTTGACCTTTAAACTGCTGACCTGGGAACCATCAGTGTTGTCTAACATCAATCAATACACGATAGATATTACAGAGGCAAGTAGGTGTTACACAGTGTGTACAGTTGTGTGTTCAATCTGTTTGATACAGTGATAAAAAGTTAGGTAGAGTTTATAACCTCACGTCTTAAAAGTTATTTCTCGGACTGAGGAGATAGCCTACAGTTTTTGGTCGCTATGCACTTTATGGATTAGTAAAATATCGTGGTCTAACAAAGACGAACCTGTTTTAATTATTTACACCTAGATCTTAGCAGTATGTTTGCTGTAAAATTTGATGAACAACGTATGTAACTGGTAAGTCAGCAACTAAAACTTTTGATTTCTAGTTTGCTACTCACATGCAAGATATCCACCTATTCAATTAGTTAGTCATTCAGTTTTTGAAATGTTAATCATGCCTAGTATTACCGTCGGTTCCTTATTAATGTTAAAATCTGTCTATCTCTTTGGTCAATTGTAAGCTGATGAAAGAAACAAAGAGATTCAACTGACCATGAATTGTGTAAAGTTTCAGACTTAGAATAGATTTCTTTCGAAGTATTTCATAGTGGTAGTCGAAAAGTTTTGACTCTTACTTTAAGATGAAATTATTTTCATGTATCTGAATTCTTGTTAGGTAGTCTGATGCTTTCATTTATTGGCAATGGTTGATTATTTGATCGGAAACATTTCATGATGGAACTAGTTGGAGCGCATTCTCCTGTTACTCACATGTTACTTTTCAATTTTCAGCATACAGTTGGAGTTGTATGGTGTATTAGAAGATGACTTTATTTGTACAAATCCAGCTTAATTGAAAAGCAAACTACAATAAATGCTATACATAATTCTAGACTGTTTTCTACATAATTTTTGTCAAATAAACAGCAGTTGGTCAATCCCAATGCCTGTCAAGACAGTATTATGAAACATGCCCTCAAGTTCCCATCCAGCCTACTATTCTAATCCACATAGTGTATTACCCCAAGAATCCATATCGATGCAAACATATTACTACAAGAATAGTGTCCCCGTATCCGGTTTGGGTCCAAACCCATCAACAGCGACTCCCCGTGCATCAGCGCTCCCTCAACAAACATCCCTAACTACAAATAATCATTTAGGTGTTCCTGGATCCGCCCGTTTATCATCCCAGTCACCTCATAATGGTCATCCATATGGGAATTTTCGAAATAGTCAGTCAAATGGTCTTCCTAATAACCAAGATGTAATGTCGGTTTCAATGCACGCCCCATCAAATTATTATTATTGGCCTTCTGGGACTACACCTGGACCTAACACTACGCCATACAACTACAGTGATGTTTCGTCACATACATATGCAACCCCTACACCAGTATCCAAACCAAACAATACAGCTGGTTATCTTAACCCTAATAAAAATGGTCTGACTAACAAAAATAATCCATCCAATCGGGTAACTCAGCAGTTAAAGAATACGACATCTAACTCAAGTGGCAGGCCGTTATGGAAAGATCGACCACATGTTGGGAAATATAGTTTAATCCAAACTATCGGTAAGGGAAACTTTGCAAAGGTCAAACTTGCCCAGCATTTGACAACCGGAATGAAGGTTAGTTCTTATATTTTCATTCGTTAATGACAGTAATGAGACTTTTAGATAAAAGGTATTATTATTGTTAATATGACAGAGTGTGATTTTTCTTTTAACGAATGTTCCTAGTTTTACCATTTCATCTGATTTTCTTTTATCATTTGCCTTAGTCACCAAAGATGATTAGTTATATGTATGAAAAATGTGCTGCATAGAGAGCACTTAATTGTTTTCAAAGTAATTTTTGTCCCCCATCATTTTGTGAATAAGTTATTTAATGTAATACTCATGAAATTTGGTTAGTTGTTCATTTACCTTTCTGTCTGTTCTGTTTGTGAGCGGCTGCACTGTAATGCGTCGTTGAAGTAAATTTTCACTAACTTTTATAGTGATTGGTTTCCAAGCAAACTGCTTGGAATTAATTGTGGTTTTCAGATCAAAATAAATTTATAATATCAAATTTGTTTGCTAATTTAAAACCTTTCGATTATTTTATATTTACATCTTGTTATTTTGTCTGTGAGATTGGGTCAACTACCTGTGCAGTTTATAATTTTATGTAGTCGATTGATTTGATTCGTTTTACCACCTCTTACGCGAGGGACAATTGTCGTGAGTGTGGCTAATTTCTATAGTACTTTTTAGTGTTGATAGAACCAAATTATGCGTTAGAATTCTCCGATATCAGGCGCATTCACATAAGATTCTGTCAGTCTTACGTACAGTCCGGAAGCTAACATACTTCCTACCGCACTAAAATCAAATTTAAGACAACCTGTATTGTACGCTACTTATGTCTACAGATATAAGTAGTATATAACACCAGTCAGAAGTTGAAACCCTGACAGTAGAAGGCTAAGAAGATCAAGTTGAATGGAAAACAGAAACGGAAATAGAAAGGAATTGTGTCTCAGAAAAATCGTACAGTGTGAAGGAAAAATGATGGAATGTTGCAAATAAAGTATTCCCTCTATGGTCCTCATATTTCGCCAAGAGATTTTGTAATTTTGTACTAAACTACATTTGGTTGTCACCACCTATGTTTTCGTTCATCACAATCGTACGCTTTATTGCGCCACCAAGTTAAATTTACAGGGAAACGTCCAACTGTTCAGTATCTATAGCACTTTTGAGCCGTTAGCAATGTCGATTTATTATCTCAGTGGTCAGGTTATTTTCTGATTATCAAAAATATGGCACTATGCATTTCAGCATCTTGGATTACTTTTGATCATTAGATAACATTATATGACACGGTTAATAGATATTAGTTTTTTAATACACTCATACGCTAAACAAAGATCTCAACACTGAATATGTCTTCAGACAAATGCTAATGAAATAATTCATCTTTGTGTTGTGTTCTAACTATGGGACACAGTACAGATAATTTTCTGCTTACATGAACGTCGTTTTAAAAATTAACTGATTTCCAACTGTTATTCAGTTAGTCAAAAGCTAACCACTCACAGACTGAAAACTTTGTCCATTTCTGAACTTCGGAAGAGATAACGAATGGTATCTAGATGTACTAAATATCCGTGTTACTGTTTACATCTGTATTCAAAAGTAATCCACTTGATAATAACTGGACGTAATCCCATCTGACTGGTCTCAATCACTGATTATGCCAGTCTACAAAAAAACGACAAAAGTCCTCTTGTGACAATCACAGAGGAATCAGTTTGACTAATATAGTGTCTAAAATGTTGGCTTCAATAATACTTCGATGCCTAACTAAAGCTCGTGAAGAGCAGACTATAGGAAATCAGGCTGGTTTTCGACCTGTACGTGGTTGTATAGACCTGATATTCACACTACGTCAGATCCTAGAAAATAGACACATTCAGATGGCCCACAATGGTAGTATTTCTCGACCTTAAAGCGGTATTCGTTTCTGTTGATCGTAAGGTTCTATGGCAGTGTTTGTTACTGAAAGAAGTACATTAACCTTACAAAGGCTGTCTACTCGAAAACAACTAGTCGAGTGAGAGCTTATGGTGAACTGTCATCAGAATTGAATACCTCAAGTGTTGTCCGTCATGGCTGTCCACTCTCTCCATTCTTGTTTAACTTTGTCGTATATGTGCTTTTAGAGATAACACTTTCCTCATCTAACTTTCCAGGAGTTGAATTTCTACCAGGAGGTTCACTTGTTGACTTAGAATATGCTGATGACATAGTTTTATTTGGTGGAGACGCTGACAAAATGCAGAGTCTTCTGACCACTCTAATCAACAATGCAAGCATGGTCAGGATGAGATTCTCCTCCTCGAAATGCAAAATATTACTTCAGGATTGGGTGGCATCGTCACCCGAACTAATGATTGGGAGTGAAGTAGTTGAGCGTGTCGACCCCTTCACTTATCTTTGGAGTCTCATCAGCCCTTGTGGTCTGGTGTGTGACGAAATCTCAGCACGGATACAGAAGGCTCGACTAGCTTTTGCCAACTTGCGTCATTTATGGCGTAGGCGTCTACCAACCGTCTACCAACCAAAGGACGTGTTTACTGCGCAGCAGTTCGTTCCATCCTACTTTATGGCAGTGAAACATGGCCGGTAAGAGTAGAGGATATTCGTAGGTTACTAGTATTTGATCATAGGTGTCTTCGAAATATTGCTCGTATATCCTGGGACTATCGAGTAAGTAACGCAGTTGTTAGGAAACGGGTACTAGGTAAGGATGGCAAATCAATTGATGAAGTAGTGAAACTTCATCAGTTGAGATGGCTGGGACACGTGTTGCATATGCCCAACGACCGACTGCCCCGACGTGCTATGTTTTGTGGTGTATGAGTAGGTTGGAAGAGAGCTAGGGGAGGCCAGACCAAAACATGGCACAAGTCCATGAAGTCACTGACAAGTGGACTGAACGATGTAGACTACCTGGTTGGGATCCACGAGATGATAGCAACCGATGGTTAGAGACCTTGAATGGCATGGCTCAAAATCGTTTGAAATGGCGCAAGTGCATCCACTCTTTGTGCTCTCCCATATTCTAATCTCCTGATTCCTCCTTGTCTCTTTTTTCTCTTTCCAAATTTATTTCACTGGATTATACTGCTTGAATAACATCTTCAAACCCTGATCTTTCCGATTACTGCTTGTACTTTTACTACCTCTACCACTGTGGGATTTGAATCTTCAAGTGCATCTCTGTGCTAATGTGGTGTGGCAACTCGAACCGATATATGCACGTATGAAGTTCCACGTTGTTACTGACTGACTGATAATTCTAATTGGTGTTTTCAAAGTTTCGGTAAAAAATGTACGCATAATTAAAAATATGGCGTAAAACCAAGCTCAAGCTTGAGTTGAGAGGTAATTAATGTGATTTTTCTACTATTACTGATTTTGAATCATGTCATTTCAAGTTTCCATTATCCCACTAATTGAATCTACTAACACAGCTTGAACCAATAGTCAATGACTTTGTAGTTTAATGTTATATATTTAACTGCCTGCCCCTAGATTTTTTTTCACAACCTACTCCAATGCTAACCAGCTTCTGTTGCAAAAGGGAAACGTGTATTAGTTTTGACGAAATGAAACTGTTCTCTATGATATGTTGCTATCCTTACCTGGTTTACTCAATTATTCTGCTGTTTTCTTTTTTCCTCATTATCATGATCCTCGTCTACAAAGGTTGCAGTCAAGGTAATCGACAAGACATTATTGAATCACTCAAGTCTACAGAAGGTAGGTAATTTTTCGATTGGGTTGTTCATGTTATTTTATGGAAAAGAGAAGATAATAAGTTAACAGCAGGTTTTATTATCAGCTGAGCGGATTTTAAAGCTAAGAACTATTGAACAGTTGTTTTGTGTTGGGAAATTTCTTCATCCTATCTATTGGTATTGAAATTGTAATCACCATGACACTGATAATCATGGTTCTTGATTGTTACTTAAACTTATTTGTGCTGTTATATAACTTATTTCATTGATGTTTATAATGTTGTTATACCGAACAGTATCGGGTTAATATGGAATAGCTGGTCAGTACTCTTAGGTTTCCAGTGATCTGTTGATGTTACTCTATTGCGAAGGATTGCTGACATTCAGTGGCAACACCATGTCAGTAATGCAGAGGTTCGGCATCGTGTGTTCGGGCACAGAGATGATAATGCGATTGGTGTCACCATCTTGAAACACCGACTTCGGTGGCTTGGACATGTTCTACGAATGTCGTCCCAGAGAATTCCACGTCGTGCATTATTTGCCGACTCTGGGACTGGTTGGAAGAAGCGGAGAGGTGGTCAGTGCATGACATGGTGTCGTGGCATGAAAGAAAGCTGCAAAGGACTGGCTTGTGTTGGTCCTTCACGACTCCCTGGCTGGGGTCCTGAGAGATGGTGCTACACAGTGGCTAGAGACGTTATCAGATATGGCTCAGAATAGAAGCCAGTGGCGATCCTGCTGTAACCTTCTTTTACATTCTTCATAAAAAGTGGTTGTGTTGTGTGGCGCATATATATTGGCGCTCTCTTGTACCAATATTCATGTGTTCAAATAAATAAATAAAGACTACCACTGAACTTACTGAAGATCACATATGTGTATAACTGTTCTATAAATGCTTCCATAACCACACTCTTCAGCCTATTTTCGAAACATCCTACACAGTAGTGGTTGGTTTATAATTACTTTTGAGTATTATTGTCTTTTCAGGAATGACTACCATTTTTTCATGGTAATCAACATGGATTATCTGTCTAAGTTATCTTTCTTCATTATTGTGTTAAATAGATATTATGTTAGCGCTGTTTCGCAAGTTCTTATCAATCCTAATCTAGACGGTTCTAACTTCATTTCATAGATGGCAAGGGCTTCTGCTGTTTTGTTCACTCACTGTGAATAATGGTAGAACTGATTTGATTCTCTTGAATTGACTTAACAAAAACTTTCTAATCTCTTGGAGTTGTATAATTCCAGTAAAATGTTTGATTATGAGTTTCCACTCGGTTTTTATTTATATTTTTCCAATTGACAAGAATATCGATTATTTAAGTAAATACATTTATTCTGTTGCATCGTACCCGTTCAATGTAGTTATCTTTTTTCTTCGCCATACTCAAGAAGTTTATTCTCATCTGTTATTCAGGAATATCTATAATATTGTGTAAACCTATATATATATATATATATATATATATATATATATATATATAGTGTGTCATTAGGATAAATAAAAATCTTATATATCCACTTGTTTTGGTGTTCTTTAGTGTTTTCATCAAGCTAATTTTAACTGTCAGTAATGGATTAAAAATTTCATAGCTTTCTTTTGATCCCCATTCATGGTATAAATATGGTTTTAATAAAACTAGTAATATCATGCAAAATTTAAATAAATATAGCCATAGACAACAGCACATTTACATTGTCTTATTACTAGTGATGTTGATCTGCTATCCATATCTATCCCTTTGCAATACCGATCAACATTTATGTTAGCATTCCACATGATTGCATTAATTCATGGTAGTTTGATTGCACAGGTGTAGGTAATTCGTACACATATAACAAACATGTTCAATTGAAATGATTTCAAAATAAGGTTTCTCTCTGTTTTATTGTCGGGAGGTTTTGAAAAATATTGGGAGATTTTCATCGTGTGTAAAATATGGTTTCTACTGAAAGTTTCAGTTTTTTTATAGTGATGTATTTTTTTCTGTCTTTTTGATTTTAGTTTTATGAAAGTAACTAATTTGTGAAGTCGATAAATTCTAATCGTTACAGAATTAAGTTATTCGGAATTATTCCTAAAATGAATATTAGACTGACTTTTTCTTATTCGTTTGCCAATTAGATACTGTATTTACAAAAGTTCCTTTTTCAAATTTTCCTTATCACATTACAAAACTTGAAAAAATACAGTTTGTCTTAATGTACAGTAATATTTAACCTTTAATGATCGTGTTCATGAATAATATAACCGGCTCTCTTTTATTTGTTTTGTTTTACCGAACTGAATCTATAACGTTCCGTTCCTGTTATGAATGCTTACTGTTAGAAATGCTATTTCATCCCGTTAAGAGCATAAATCCACTACAGGCGAAAAATCATCATAAAGACATGAATATGTTTGCTCAGGTTGTGTATAATTTTCATTAATATCTGAAACCTTTAACTCGAATGTTCACTTGGTTACATTTATATTCCACACTGGTCATTGAAAAACAAAACGTTTATTGCTAAATTACAATTGTTTAGGCTAGAATTAGGTCCCATAGTTTCATAATTTATCGATAGATATTAACCATCAAGTTCATTTTGAAAAAGTAGTTTACCTAGACAATGGGACGTCTGGTTGTGGAAATACAAATCAATAATTATGGCAAACATTGTTTAGCCATAGAACTGTTCTTCATCTAGGGTTCGACATATTTTTCGCTTATCATTTGTTTGATATCGATTCACATTAAAAAAATTTTACTTTTGGATTGCGGAATAGATTAATTTATGATTTCTAAATAAAAATAGTCTTAATAATAATAGCGTAAACAAATAAATTTAATGTTTTGGAGCTGTGCAGAAACAGTTTATATAATATAAGCATTTTACTCACTATACTTTTGCAACATAAAACTAATTATCAATTACACTTTTATTGACCAAACTACTATTTAAAAAAAGTTTAGTAAAGAAAAGGGACGTAACAGTGACCACGCCTTAAGAAAAAATATTTATATCGGTTCTTGTCACACTTGGGCCATGTACTTGTCTTTTTTTGGTTTTGTCAATTTAAATAGTGCTTACCTGTCGCCTAGACTACTACTCGCTTATGACGTTTCATTTAAAATGGTAAAGAGCTATTGTTTTGCTTTATATTCCGTGATATTGAGGAAGAAACAGATTGCAGGCTGTTTTTGTTAAATCATATTTTCAATTAATAAAATACTTTAGTGTTATTTTTTCAATATTCATAATATGTTTAAATATATCTATCGTGTTTGACTTATGGCTAGTGAAGTGATTAAATTGATTTCAATTCATTTTTGTATTGTTTGTTTGAATCTTCGCATTGATGTTCGGGACTGCAATTGATCAGTCTCTTATTGGCATACGTGCATCCTGTGCGGATCGCCTTGATATTGCCCTAAGTCATAAGCATTGTAAGTAATGCTTGTACTGGAGTGAATATCAGCTCTGGGATGCAGGTACACCCGGCTAACGAGTCCTAAATAGGACGAAACTCGCGCCACCATTCATCTTGGCTTAAATTGATTTCAGTTTTCGAAAATCATTTTTGTGTTAACCAAGTATTTTAATAGGCCCCAAACGCACTTTCTATTTACTTCATCAGAAAAAAAATCAGCAGATGAAAAATACTTAGCTAGGCAAATGCTCTTAGGAGACGTTGGAGTTAATATATGTGATACATACAAGTTAAATATATTCCGAACTCTTTAGCTCTTAGGGTTTTATTTGGTTACTCAGTACTAACAAGTATAGACTTTAACGAAGCTTCTGTTGATAGCTTATAAACTTTTAATGACTAGTCAGTATCTTGGTTTTTATGAATGATGCTGATGAATTAATAAATGGAGCATTTGGGTGCATACTCCTCTACTTTGCTACCAAGCACGTTAAGTATTGGACGGAGTTTTATACTCTGAACTGGATGGTTTGGTTATGGAGCTTTCATTATTCTTTTGAACATCATTAGCACAAACTTCAGGTAAAAGTAAAGTGTTCGAATTTTTCCACATATGACTCACAGCTTGTCCTGTCGACCTCGATTTTAACTGGTTATTGTTTTGAGTGTATCACATTTGATTCGACTCTTGGTCCAATATTTGTCCATAATTTTTCTAATTGGTCAATAGATTGGATCGATTTCAATGTGCTTGTTGATTGCTGATTGACCTGAGTGCCAAGCTTCTGGTGCTTTTGGCTTTCCCTCTATCCAAAATCTGAACATTTTTCCAGTTGAATGTGTATCTATGGTTGTCCCCATGCATTGATATAAGCAAAGATATGTCATGACTTTTGAGCGCTAATTGATGTTCATGCAGGTTAAGAAGAAGGGAGTGTCCACTTGGTCCGATATAGCGTTTTCCGCAATTTGAACAGTTTACTTTGTAGATGTTTGGTTTTTCTTCTTTCGTCATTTCGTTCTTTGGTTTGCATAGGATTGATTGAAGTGGTTTTGCTGGTTTGTTTGATACACCTATTCCAAACGGCTTCAATAATCTCGTAATTTCTGATATGTCTTCCATATAGGGTAAGATGATCCGTTTGTTGGTTTCGGTGTTTGATTTTGTTTCTGCTGATGAGTTGGGTTGATATTTCTTGGTGAGGTTGCGTAGGTAGCCGTTCTTTTGAAGGATAGTCAGTAGATATATTTTCTTCATTGTTCCACCCTGCAACTTTTACCTGAAGTTTGTGCTGATGATGTTGTTCAGAAGAATAATGAAAATTCCACGACCGAACCATCCAGCTCAGAGAACAAAACTCCACCTAAATCATGCACCTGCGCTACAAACCTACTACACGTTAAGTATTATTTGTTAGTGTTATCCACTTTTGTCAATTTCGTTTAGTTGTTGGTGGCAACTACATGTTCACATAATTTTTCGAATGTCGATCTCCGTTTAGAGATAAATTTATGATCCTCACAGATGAGTGTCCACTTCCATTTGTTGTTTACTGACTACTGTTAGATGATAATCATTACTTTTGTTTAGTAGTTTGGCACTTAAAAAATGAACAAAATTTCAAACCTTGTTTATATTTCATTGAATTACTCTATTTTAAACTACTGGTTTATAATCAGAACTATCTGGTATATGGTGTTCTGTAGTAAGTAGCACGATGTAGGTTTTATACTCATTAGTTTCCGGATAATTTCTATTTTAGTTGTTTGTTTTGTTTTCAAAAAGCGAAAGGTCAGTGTTTGTGTGATGTTGACTGACACTCGTCTGACAAAAACTGACTAAACTGTTTGTGTTTATCAAGAAGAATCGTTTGCAAATTATGATTTTTATATAATCCTACGTATTAGTTGACAAAATTTTGCTTCAATTTCTTGTGTCTTAATTCATCATAATTTTGTGCTTCTTTTTTGTTTACTTCCCTGTTAGTTGTCAAAGTAATAGTTTTTCATCATTCACTCTGAATGAGCAGATTTCATGTAAACTTATCTTCATCCTGTAAAATATAGTTTGTAGGGTAACTAGTTGTTTCTCGTCATCTCCATTTTCGATGGGTATTCAGATGCTGCTGGAATAAAACACGTCACTTACTAATGTACAGCTAATTCATGTCTTAATACATGAATGGTTTTTCTGATTGATAATAAATATAGGGTAAATGACTAATTCCAGTGACCTTTGTGTATGTATTGTAGCAAAGACACCATTATGAAGTATATTGATCTTTGAAATAAGACTACCTTAAACGCAAATATAAAGCTGTGTCTTAAATGCTTATGTATTAAACTGTCGAATATCTGAGCTGTTGAATCTTTGTTCTTGCTCTTGTCAAGAATATTTTTAGGGTAGCAATCTTTTACTCTCAATTTTTTTGTGAATTTTCACATATTTATCTCAAACTTTAGTTAAAATGCACAGTTATGACGTCACAAACTTAGCTGATTGTTTAGTACATATATATCTGCATATTTAAAATATATGGGTTTTCAATTCTTTTGTGAGTTATACACATCCAAACCGTGTTGCATCTTATCTCAACATTTGATACTAGTAGCTTGCGGACAAATAAGGTGCAAATGCAGTTATTTGTCTTGGAGTCTCCTTTTAAATATAAGATGATACTTCATAAGCGATCTGGATCGATACCTAATCTAATTATGTAAAGGGAAGTAATTGAGTTCATCTACCTTTCAAGCTAACTTAGGAACCTTATCAATAATAATAACAGACAGAACTTTGGTAGAAATGAGAAGACCTCGTTTGAATTTTGCTGCCTTACACTACGTATGTTGTGGATAAGGTGTCCTCATGCCTTTCAAGGGGTGGGTATACTTTGCGAAATTTCTCTGTGTTAGCGGAACATAGACTGGGTTAAAGCAAGTTCAATGCACAATTGCTTTGGTGCACGCTGATTGGCTAATTCTTATCCAATCAGCACTAGTCGATAGTTGGAGAATACTCTAGAATCTTCTCAGGTAAAAACTATAAATATACTGACGTTTTTCCCTATTGTGATTCTGACTTGATTCTTACTTCCATCTAACCTTGTTATTTGGAATATAATCTCTTTCCTGTTCAACCGTGTTCTGATTTGGGGACTTGTCGAGTGAATCGGTGTCCGAGAATACTAAGCAGTAGGAATAGCTGGGTCATTACCGTAAGAAAAGAGATTTATAACACTCTGTGTTACCTTATGACTGTATAGCATGACCTCTAGAAATAGAATACAGGGGTCGATTTCTAGTGTATGACCTCAGATGTCCTTGAAGGATTGTTCACTTATGTTAAAATTGCCGACTGAGTAATTTTAACATTAGCGTTAGAATACTAGACAACGATGGTATAAGTCTTAAACCCTATCATTTCATACTTCTCAATCATTTTCTTTTCAACGATATTTTACACGTTTAGTTTCCATTTAAACTACAACAGCTATTTCGACCTCTTTTTCGTTTCATGTTCTTGGTTTCTACTCTGTGCCATTATTCTGTGGCAAATCAGGCAGATATATACTTAAGTTTGTGTTTTTGATAACTAAGTGGATGGCTAACCATTATTAAATTCTGTTCGCTTGTTTCTTTTATACAACATCTAATTCACCCTCTTCTTGTTGAAATTTTCCACCCTGGAGATCCTTCATTTTCACCACAATCCATGATGCTTTCTCGATATTACTCCATTGGTTGTTTAATATGCTATTTTTCTGACTATTTTCAAGGATATTGTAAATTTATGTTTATACACAGCAGTTGCTTTCTTTGTCAGTATTCTTTGGTGCCTCAAATAAATTCTGTACTGGAAGCTTGACTTCAATGTTAGCCGATAGTTAAGGAAGGGAATGAAGAGTTTTTTATGTCCTTTGATCAAGGAAGTTGTAGTTAAAATTAATTCACTTTTATTATCAAACAAGTTTTGTAGATCATATTAGATAAATTTAAAGTGAACAGAAGGGAAATACTAGTTTGAGTTTTTTCAAACATTTCTGTTACTGCTGGATTTTTTTATGCTGCATAAAGTAGGTAAGCACTATAACACAGGTGTCAATTTAATTTGGAATGGGGATAATCTTTCTCATAAGTCAGTGCTATTTATTCCAAAACTTCACACCAATTTAAAGCAGTTTCTTATCTTTATTTTTTGTGTTACTACTTATATTATTTATTATCTAGTATTGAATGTTAATTTATAATGTTGGTTTTTAAGCTTTTTATCCCCTTTTCAGCTTGTTTACCTGTCAGAAAATAAGGCGCGATAACTTTAACCTTAATTCTACTAGTATTTTTTGCGTACTCACTGGTATTTGAGATAGTGCTCAAGTTTTATTCTTCAGTAATATTTCTCATCACTCTATTCACATATAAGTTAGATGGTGTTTGGAGGTAGTCGACAGGAAAACCTTGACCCGGGTTTCGTGCTACTTGGCACTCATGACATTGATCACCACCCAGTAGTCAATTAATTGTGACTTTTAGCGCATATTCTTCTCTCCTTTAGAAATATATTGTGAATCTCATATTGGTGTACCACATCTTTTCCTGATTTGTTTTTTATCTCTATGAAAACTCTAATTATTATTTTAACTCGCTCTAGTTGACTGCTTTTTATGATCCTAAATTGTTCTAGCTGTTAATCCTTTAATTTTCTCAAAATGTTATTCGACTTAAACGTTTCTTACCTCTGACTAGTTTTTCCCACTTGATATAAATACTTATATATTCATTTTATGTTCTTGGCCTTCTTGGTGATTCACTAATTCCTTCTTAGGTTTTTTCTTTTAATTTTATACGGAACTTATTGTGTTTCTGTCAGTCTTTATTTATTGGTAGTAACAAATGTAGTTGTTATGTACTACTTACATTTGTTGCTTCAAACCAATTCCTTAGATCTTGAAAATAAATGTATGGTATGGATTGCAAACTGAAGTTAGTTGTAGTTGATATTGGAACTGTTAGATTTTTTATTTGTGTGTCCATTGACTAAAACATCGATATTTTCAGTTAGAATAACTTTATATTTTAATAGCTAAATTACGAGAATATTTTTTTATTTATTGGTTATTTTTCACAGCTTTTTCGTGAAGTTCGTGTTCTAAAAAGCTTGAATCATCCGAATATAAGTAAGTTATAAACTTTATTTTGAAAATGTTTGGTTTAATTAATTTAATTTAATGTAAAATTAAGAAACTAAGTATTGGTTCGTGTAGATAAATGATATCTACTAACCTGCTGCTGCCTTAACTAAGCTGGAAGTTGTGCCAGGAGACCCAGTAGTACATGATTGTTGAGCGTTTCCCATTATTTAGTATAATGTTGAGTTAGTTTGTCATCCCTAGTTTTGTTTTTTATTTTATGACTCGTTTTTTCTTTAGTTATTACCTGATAATGATGTCTTCTATAATTCCTGTGGTTTTCTCATTAAGATACAATTAATATTTGCGAATTATTTTTGTAGGCCTATAAATTATGGGGTCTATATTGTATTATCCATGATCTAATGAGAAGTAATTTGTACGTAAATTTATAGAATATAATAATTGTAAATCACAAAATCCAGTAACAAGAATAATCAGTTCTTTACTTGACGATTCGGATTATAGTTTGCTCCTCATAGAGAATAAATTGAAGCAAATTGTTTGTTGATTTTCGTTATCATTGATTTTCCTACAGTTGATCTTAGAAAATAAATTGCATGCATCATACTCTGAACTACATTCTGTTTCTGTACTGTGATTTTTTATAGAATGAACTTAAAAGATTCCTCAATTATTTGTCGTTTGCAAGATGGTTTATTCTTTTACAATATATTCAATTAACACATTCCATTCTTCACTTATATATATATATATATATATATATATATATATATATATATATATATATATATATATATATATATATATATATATATATATATATATATATGTATACCAATTTTCTTCCTGACGTTTTTTTACGTGCCAATTAATTTTTATTTGCACGAATGTACTAATTAACTGTTGCATGTGAGATTTAAAAATTTCCCATCGGTGGAAAAATGTATTAGGTCATGTGATAATATATTGTATTCAAGTTTTATAACACTGTCCTTATCTATTTATTATCCTTATTTTTCATCGTGAAGACGGTTAATTAATAGATATAACTCAAATTTCGTCTTGATATTTAGCTTCGTGTTTTTGTAATGACAACTTGTAAATATTGATTCAGCCTGATGAAAGCAAAAAAATTCTTGGATAAATAAACTCTAATTTGTGCTTATGATAATCACAATAATCTTAGTTATTCTAACTTGTTAACTGTTTCACGTTCAAATTATAGTTTTTGAGTTGGATGTGGCTCATGTTCTGTCTTCTAGTATCGGTCGCTTTGAAATTCCGTTAAACTATGTTTAACAATTTTTGACAAAATTGTACCATACCACTGTATTTCTGTTGCATTTCGTTTGTCTTAGCACTTATATGCTTCTAATGTAGTTAATCTTTATTGGTCTGATTTCGTATGCCAAAATGTGGAGTTTTGTAGGTACTTCTTTGATTTGTGCATAAGAAATCGGTAGCATTTCCAACGTTTTAATAAGGAAATGGGCAATACTATAAGATACCAGTGACCGTAAAAGTAACATTGCAGTTACAGTTATTAACCTGTCAGATTGAAGGTCATATAACTGGTTTATTTATTACAGAAATGTAACACCAATATAAAAATCAAATCATTTTCTCTTTCAGTATGGATCGACTTGTACTATGTCCTGAATCACACCTGACTTGTAATTATCGTTTCAGATACAGTATACTGGTGTTCATCGTAATTTGGTTTCCACATCATGTCGTATTCACTGTATGGTTACTCGATAGGTATGTTTATCAGTTTTAAGCCTCTTGAGAAAGAAATATCGGCAAATATCACCTAGCTCTTAATAGGGTACAGTCTTGCTATCATGACGTTTTAAATTTCGTTCGGAAATCGAACCGTCACTACCTTGAATTTGATTGACTTATTAATATGGTATAGTTTTCTGAAATAACATTTTTTTTTCAAATTACACCAAATTAAGAGTTGCATTAAAAAGCTTTTTTTAATTATATTTTTACAAACAGTTGTCTGTGTTGGTATTTCAATGACAATCTATTAAGTACGCTAAACTTAGTGAAGTCAAAATGTTTTTACTTATCCTACATATATCGTTTTGCAGTTCTTAGTTTCTACATTAAATAGTCCGTTTCTAGAAACTTCGATTACTATGACTTGTTTTTAGATCATAAATTTTCTCGACTATGTTTCATTATCTCTACCGTACTTGTAGGTCAAGTTCTCTAGTGTTCTACAACTGATTAATTCAGTGTGACAGAGTTCCAACCAGTAATCTGATACTGAGTTTTGATCAGTTTATTTCATGTATCGTAACTCAAATAACATCGAATCAATAATAAATGTAGACGTTTACGACAACTCATCTGGTTCCCTTTCTCTACGAGTCGAAACTTGTTAAAAAATAATACAGATTATAGTGATAATCCATAAACCTACTTTTGTCATGTCATTATGGAACAAATCACATATGAAGTACGGTTTTATCATAAATTTAGTTCCTTCCTGATTCTTACTGGTCATTCGTATCATACGTATGGATTTTACTACAGAACTTGTCGTGGATTTATACACTAACTGAATTGTCAAATGTTCATTTGATGGTGTTTCCCAGTGGCTGATTGTCATAGTAGTAATTATTATCGTGAATTATTGTAGTTTCTATCTGTAAAGTTCTTCATTTGGATTGAGAAACGCATTTGGTGAATAGATCAGCTTAGGGAGTAAGATAAAGCGGTAGCTTATATGTATATTTATTTGGTAAATAAAGAAGGAACGAATTGAGCGAAGAAATTTCTTTTCAATTAGTTTTTCATCATGGCTCTACACTAATATATATACGTTTTACAATAACAATATAATACTCATCGAGTGGATACGTTACGTAATAATTACATAATGACATTTAAATTAACATTCATTAATTGGAAGAAAGAGGATTATTAATATTCAAAGTGATCAAGAAGTTGCTAAGTTGCGTAATGTAAGAAACAAAGAAGGAACAGAATTTTAACGGATGGTCAATAGGATGGTAGTTACGTAAGAATCAAGAGATGAATGTTGAGAAGTTATTAAGTTCAAAAGCAACAGAAATAAAATTATAAAAGTTAAAAAATGGAAGAAGTATGAAAAATAGTTCTTTTGAAGGAAATCTTAAACTGATGGCCAGGGCAGGGAAAGTGGTTGTACGAATCTCTTTTGAATGCAAAGGTCAGGTTTGTGAACATGGATTGCGATGGCTTCCGCAATGTGCAAGAGGCGCACTCGTAAACGATGTGGCAAATTAGATGGGATATTGTAGATAACCTTAAAAGCTTTATTCAATTCGACTTGATGACCTGTGTCAACCAAGTGAGAGAGAATAGAACTTTTAATCACTTTTACCTGTCCTTTGTTTAACCACGACGGATGATGTTCAGTAATGCGATGACAGACTTGCCGAATTTTATTTGGTAAACGTGCGACATTGAAATTCAAAGTTACGCTACTAAAGTCGTGACAGTATAATATTTTTGATGAATTCAGTTTTTTTAATCTAATTGTCAAAATCAATTAGTTGCAAGGTATTATTTTCAAGGCGAACATGATATTTACATTGGTCAAACAAATAAATGACCTTATAAGGTAGTTGATGTATGTTGTAAAAATATGCGTAGTTTTCAAATCGATAGTTCACATACGATACATTGATACAGAACATTTCATATCTATCTATCTGTACGCTAAAATTTCCTTAATACGCACAATATTAATCATTTTTCTGCCCACGATTATTCTTATTCACCTACCCACTCATTATAACCGATTGTTTATTATCACCTTGTGAACAGCTGTATAGTTAATTTTGTTTGAAAGTATAATTAAAAAAAGCGAAGTTCCTTTCTATTTGTTTTCCTTCCCTTCACTAAAATAAAAAAGATTTAAAGTGACATTTTCCTAACTGTTGACATGCCATTAATTTACTTGCCATTATTTATCGGTTTTCGGGCTTTGAATCTTTCGCTTCCTCGTCTTCATCCCCTGACTGATACATACACTTTTTTTGCTAATGCTGACCTCATTGTCCTTATTTGTTCTCAATTCAGTTAATTATTTAACATTTCATTATCAAGCCCCCCTTATTAACCTAGTTTTATTTCATTGTTAGCGATGTTTGATTTCTCGTTTTTTCCAGTAGGAAAACTCAAAAGAATCGACTGAATATATATATATATATATATATATATATATATATATATATATATATATATATATATATATATATATAGTCCCTTTTTTCTTGGCTACGTTGAGATATTCTTTTGCTTCGTTTCTGTAGTTTGGGTGGTGATATTTTTGTCTGTTTGTAACCTTTTTTATGCGTAATTATTCTCTGTTCGAGTTACGTATGAACTTTTACTCAAAAATTATGTGTTCGATTAGTTTATTACTAGTGGATTAAAAGTTACTGCGCTTGATGTTCAACCGTTGTCATAAGTTCAGATCTCTCTCCTTCTGCTCCTGTTTGGACATCTGGATAGTACCATTAACCCTCGAATAAAAAATAACAAGTCTGGTTCAGACCCAGTTACGTGCACATATGCAAACAAATATTTGTGTTTATTCACGTTTAGGCATGTCAACGTGCATCGCTGTTAACTACTTCTTTTATGTACTTTGCTTAGCAACGCAATTCTCAATAACAATCCTATTTCGAACACAAGAATTTACGCAAAAATATTTTTCAGTCAAAATTAAACTATACCCTTAGTGGCTTTTGACCTAGGCCGCGACAATTGGAGGGATAAAACAGAAGTTACCAATTCAGCCAAATATGATATGGGAATAAATATGTAAATATTTATTTAATTCTTAGGATGTTCTTGAAAATCAGCAATCTGAAGTACTCTTTTCAATAGAGTTGAACTCAGCTTCTCCCGTGCCACTAAAAATGTGGAGTCGTAATCGAAAATCTAACTTTTTTCGATTTGTGTCGACTTTTTAGGAAATAGTGTGATTTCCAGTTAAACTTGTTGACGTAACGGCAATC